CATGCTGCTCTGCCACCAAGCACATTTCCCTATTCAAATGGACCTTAATCCAAGGTGGCAGAGCGCAGCGTCCTGACCACTGACCTCATACTGTCCTTCCACGTGGACCTGCTGACTCTCCGTCTACTGCACACAAGTCTAAGGCTCAGTTGACTTGGCAACACCGCGGTGCGTTGTGACGGCGAGAGAGATTAAGTGGCCAATCAAGGCCTGAACAGTGGGGTAATCATTCCACTTGGTGAAATGGGTGTCAGGATTACTCCGGCACTTTCTCACTTCACTGTGCAGGCTTTAATAGGGCAAAGACATTTTCCGGTAACTAGAGTGCTGTGGGTTGGATTAAAGAACAGCTTTATACTGACTGATTAATAATAAAGACTAAAAGTTGTGATTAGAGGCAAATGTAACCTTGAGGTTAGGGACTGTACAAAAAGTATTAGGGAAGGAGGGAGGGTCAGTCAAGGTGGAGTTAAGTATTATACATTTTATTTTTGCTGAAAGGAGACTATTCTTCCTCATTATGTTATCAAAAAACATAATTTGGACAAAAAACTACAGGTTTATTAAGGTTTTTTAATACTGTTTACAATACAATACCTGTTACCACACTTTATAAAAGGACGGGTTATACTAAATTAATACAAAGACATTTTCCGGTAACTATAAAAAAATGCATTTCTACTGAAGGTCAGAGTACAATGTTTTATTTGGTTTCCAAAATATGGAACAATATATCTATGTGTAGCACCTACAGGTTTATTAAGGTTTTTTAATATTATGTTTACAATTACAATTACACTTGTTACCACAGCTTTATAGGGTTTGTGGTTGATAAAAATTTTTTTTTAATTAAAAAAAAGAAAATGAACCTTGAGGTTAGGCTGACAAAAGTATTAGAGGGGGAGGGCAGAAAGGGGAGTTAAGTATTATACATTTTATTTTTTTTGAAAGGAGACTATTCTTCCTCATTATGTTATCAAAAAACATAATTTGGACTAAAGTGCGTGTTCTAATAACATAATGAGGAAATTGAATTTCTACTGAAGGTCAGAGTACAATGTTTTATTTGGTTTCCAAAATATGGAACAATATATCTATGTGTAGCACCTACAGGTTTATTAAGGTTTTTTAATATTATGTTTACAATTACAATTACACTTGTTACCACAGCTTTATAGGGAAAAGGGACGGGTTATACTTAAATGTAATTACAAGGACAGAGGGCTGGGATTGGGGTGAAAATAATGTGGTGCACAAGCCCTTCAGCACCGAGCTGTGGCCTGTTCCCGGTTAACTCATATGGTGGCTGGTGGCTTTGTATTCAAAAATAGAAAGCTCCTGTATTTTCACTAATTTATTTAAACAGTTGCAATAAAATATACGAGGGGAGAAGGTGTGGGTCAAACATAATATTCAGCACCACTCCCCACCCCAATAATTTCCATACTGTCCCTTAGAAAATTGGCCTGGTGGCCAGAAGGCTTTTACATTGAATCCCCTGATCAGCTAAGAATATCTCCCTTCCCTGAACTACAACTGAAGACGTGCTGTTGAGCAAGGCAGCTAACTCCCATTAGCTCTAACAGAGCTGCTTAATCTAAATGAATGTGGTTGTACTTGGCGTCTCTCAGCTATGAATAAATAGAGAGAAGTCAATATAAGGCAAGCTATCTCTGCAGAATGCATTCTCACTTGATTTCCCTGGATAAATAAAGGTTAAATGGAGGAATAAAAAATTAAAGTCCTTGCTGGAAGACAAATAGCTTGTTAATGTCAAGCAGACTGTGGCCCAATGCCTCATTTCTGGTATGATTGTTAAAGTCAATTCCCATAGACATGAGCATAGGAGAAATAGAGGAAAGTATAGGCTATATTACTGCAGAGTCTACTGCATGTGTGGATGTGCACTAGTATGCTTGTCTTGTCACTCTCACTGTATTATTCCTTAGTATGTATGTGAGGAAGAAAACAGCACCATGCAGTTCTGGTGAGTTTAAATATTTCATCGCAGGGATGGATTCTGGAGCTGCCAGCCTTCCAGTTTGAGAGAGTAATGCTGCTCCTCGTCCTTATGTTCCACTCTGTTGAGTTAATGCAATATCCTCATATTACTGTCCTGTCTCCCCCTACTTACTTTCATTGTCCTCCATCAATATATTCAAGCGTGGAATGCCTTTCATCTTCTCTGTGTCCCCACTTCTTTTTTTTAACAAGAAGAAAGTAGCAGTGTTGTCCTAACCCTGTGCTTTACTTCTGACCCTGTTAGCTGGTGGTGTACCCTCTGGGTCTTTATTAAAGTAAACCAATCAGTCGAGAGGTTGGGTACGAAAGCTCTCCACCACCATTGGGAATGATTAAGATGACCCACTGCCTCCTTTGCCAGGAGGAATTATATTGTGTAAATAGAGGGTATCCACATGGGTACAGGCTGTTACAGCTGCTAAGTTGGGTCAGGACTATTTTTCAGTGCAGTGTATCTTCAGCTTTAGGCGTTTATTACGTTTATCTGCAAGAACAGCGATAATATTAGAATTAGTGTTCAGATGACCACCGGGATTAAATACCAAACTGCATGTATTTTGCTCTGTTAAACAGGTTTTCTCTGAATTTTCTCCAATCCTGTGAAATACAGGACATTGTTACCTATTTAGGCCACTTAAATAATTATTGAAATGAAAATGTGGGAAAATTACTCTCTGGTGGAACTTTTCATAAATTATATGCAACCAATAATGAGGGTTTGCATATAGATTTTATTTAATTTTAAGGGGTTAACAGTGACGCTACTACACTGCTGTGATTTAGACATTGCTGAGAAATTACAGCATGAACTGTGCAAATAAAATTAGCGAGCGAACAAGATAAAAATGACTCATCTCAGTTGGTATTTGTTACAGTGTCATTCATAAAGGTCTCTGTTCAAGTGATGCATATGGAAGCTTTTTAAAACCACACAGTGGACACTGTTTCATGATCTTTTGAGTTCAATAAACCAGAGTTACAGATAATTGAGGCAACATGGTAAAGAGGTGGAATAAGATTAACAATTGACTTTGGAAATATGACCTTCACTTTTTTTCCCACGTATAAGGCCATTAATACATGAAACTAAACAAACCCCGCCCCCCCCTAAAAAAAAAAAATATTGACTGTCATGTGACTAAGACTTTTTCGACAAAAATATCAGATAGAACCTAATAATTCTAAGGTCAGGAAAAGGGTATTAAACCATATACTGTATAGGACCATTAATATCTTCCCAACAGAGCTTATCCTGCAACAGGTACAGCCAGAGGGAATTCTGGGAAAGAGAACGGGCCGAGGTGGCACAGATAACTTGGCATACCACCACAACATTTTTGTCCCCAGGCTACAGCTGGCAAACACCCCCACATTACCCGTCACATCTGCAGTGTAGTCAACTACTGCCCATGCAATCAGTGCTTGGCAAGACGATTGACTCACATGTGAACATGGAGAGAGTGTATGTGAGATGGAGGGTTTTCAATTAACATTACGCAACAGTTCAGACATGGAACACATCATACCCACAAACACATGCCTCGTCACATGTGTATTCAGGCATGTATGCATACATACATACATACATATTGTATGTGCGCTGTTCCTTTACCAATGAAAATGAAATGCCTCTCGAGCCTGGCAGACAGCACGGCTGACTTTCAAGAAATTCCACAAGCGAGTGCTTTCTGGAACTAAACGGGTGCGGCAAATCCTCTTAAAATCCTTTTAGACACCGTGGCAGCAGGGAGAAAAAGAAAAAGTTTCTCCCAGGCAAACATGTGCAGGTTTGTTGGGTTGATGTTGTGCTCTGGGGAAGGACACTCTCGCCAGTTTATTTCTTCAAGGCTGAAAAAGAATGTTAATACGACACATACCCTACAGGATGCGAAGGAGCACAATATGGTGGCGTGGCGTGTCTGTCGACAGCAGGCTTCAAGGAAAGACTTGAGGGGAAAGGACGCTTAGGATGTGTACGGCTTAATTTTTCGATCCAAGACTTCAAGAGTGTAGTGCTTTGCACATTCTTTTGTGTTGTATTAGGATAGTAGAGGGAAAATTTAAAGTTTCACTTTGAGCTGCCAACATGCCAGTGACCTGGACAGCTTGCATATAAGGTTCTTCTCTACACAAACAATAGTAAACAACTAAAATCAGTGTGACTATCTACTCAGGGCAGTTTTACTTTAGATGAAATTCTTCAGCGGAAATGAAGTTTTAAATGTTTGTCAACAAGTGCCAGCCAATCCAACCACTATGTCTTTAGGCTCTCCAATTTCCTGAAGTTTCTATAAAACTAGTTTCCTCGCGCTGATTGCCATTTACATATTTGGGTAAATGAGCATGGGATTGGGCTCGGTGGTTTGTTTGTCGATTTGCTCTTTGCTTTCCTATCTCCTTTGGGCAACAGATTGAATTAATGTTTGTAGACACTGTGATGCCACACATGAGGAAACAGGAGATCATGCAAAATTACAAAACTCTCCCAATTACAGCTCTACAAACACATAAGACTCAAAAGACACAAAAAAAAAACTAATTTGGGTTGTGATGCAGATTTTTCTTGTGTCAGTGGCACAAGGACAATAATTAGCTTCATTTACATGCTTTTTCCATTTAAATAGACAAACAAACAGATATTGTTTACTCAAAACCCCGGCTTTGCAGAACACACACAAAGGCACCCACAAACACATGCACACAAATCTGTGATCTGTACTTTCACTATATACACTATTTCTGACACAAGGTAAATGCCAGCTTGCTTACACATATCTTTATCAGCAGTGCCACCATTTCTCCTTCCATCCCTGCTCTCTTTAGCGCCTATCTCCTTTCCTCCTTAATTACTTGTTGGAAGGTGTTTGGCTTTTCACTGCACGCCTGCTGTTTTGGTCATTACAGGCCCCTGTAGGAAGTGGAGTATCTGCCAAAGAAGCTTAGCAGAAGACAGGCGCTGGGGATGTGTCTGTACTCACCTGGGGTAAATGAGGACAACTCTTCCTGCTGGCTTTGAGGCCTGTCCTTCCCTCAGGGGCTGTCCTGATGTTGAAGAGGGCCTGAAGCGCACACTGGGCCGCTTGGTTCTTGGCCAGCTTCTTGCTGCGACCGCAGCCCTCAAATATCCGCCCGTCCACGCGCACTGCCATCACAAAGCTGCGCAGCCGTCGGCCTTCAGCTCGCTCCGAAAGGCAGGCATAGCGCAGGCCCGGCCGGAGCTCATTGAGCAATGCCACAGGACTCTTGGCGGCCTCTGGCTCTGGAACAATACCACCCAACCTCTGTTGAGCCTGCACCATTAGGTCCAAGGTATGGCGAAGCAACCGTCCATGTCTCAGTAGCTCACTCGATAGTAGCTCGCTTTCTGCTGCTGAGTTGCAGAGCGAGAGGCCACCGGAGCACGGCGAAGACTCAAATTCCTTGAAGAGAGTGTCAGGGAAATCGGCCTGATCTGAGGTGAAGTCAGCCGAAGGGTTTGAGATGTTTCCCATGGCCAAGTGGGCCTGAGGAGCATTGGGGAACTGGATGAAGGATTTGAGGGCCAGCTCGGCAGCCCTCATCTTAGCTTTCTTCTTTGTAGGTCCTGTGCCCTCGAAGGTCAGCCCATTCACCTCCACAGCGATGGAGAAGACAGGAGCGTGGACCGGGCCTGTCTGAGAAACCATGCGGTACTGGAGGCCCGGCCGGAGCTCATTGAGTTGCACCAAAGCATTCTTTGGTGCCTCAGACCAGGACAGTTTCTTATAGATCAGGCGGAGTTGACACAAGTGCCCGTTGTTGTCTTCCTCCAGTGGTCGTTTCCTCTTCAGACCAGAGCTCCCACTTCTTGCAGAGTCGGAGCAGAAAAGCGACTGGCACTCTGCAGATCCTATGGATCGATCCTCTAAGTTACCAATATTACGGTTTTCCTTTACCTCTGCACTGCTTGTACCTGCAATAAAAACAGAAACAATGTGATCCAGAGCGATAAAAAATACATCCAACACAGGAGCAAAAATAAAAGTAGTCATTACTGTGTGACACTCACATTCATCCTGGCTGAACAAAATGGAAAATCTCCCAAGGCAGATTGAGCCACTTGATACACAATGAAATGGTAATGAACAAATCTACAATCATCTCTCTGAGCTGAGCGCACTTCATACCACAGGGCTCTATCATATTTAAGTGTTTTAAAATCCAAATACAAATCCCCTAAAAATGGCGATGTTATCTGCCAAATCATTCTGTAATCTGCCTCCAAATTGGTTCTGAATCTGTGTTGTGAGTGGGAAACATCGGTCCCTGTGGCCAATGCAAAGCATCAATCCTATTTGTAATGGGGGTGGGGATCACATCGAGTGGCAGACATTCCAAGAAAGGATGAAATGTCTGTAGCCCGCTTTATTTCACACTTCTATCCTCTGTGAGAGCAAAGTCTGAACAGCTGTGATACGCTCTTCAAACCTAGTTATGGGGAAGTGGTGGCGTATTGCATTTCTGATGGGAAATGAACAAAAATAGGGTGTTCAGATCTTGCCACAAGAATGTTAATGGTGGAGTGGGAGGCTGGGATCAAGTGCTGACATTCACTGGTGGGCTGAAGCAGATTGTAGCTCTAGATGATAGGTACATGCACGCCTGCGTACACTATCTAATGACTTATTTATCACGAACACTCAAATTTAATATTCAATAACTCACTTTTATAAGATAATACAGATTTTAACACACAAGCTGACACCCATGCGTAATCAAATAGCCCATTTCCCAAATAATTAATTATGTGGGTGACAGACAGATCATTTTCATATTAGGCCTGCCACTGAGGGAGTTAGCGCAGCGTGCTGACAGAGAGAAAGAAAAGATGCAGCAGCTTACTTAAACTGTCCTCGTCCTCTGTGCTGCTGGTCCCAGGGCTTATGTACTTGAAAGGAGCGATCAATGCTGACAGCATACTGACTTTCTCTGGAGGAGAGACAAGAGACACGCAGAGTCAACAAGAGGGCAGCGGCGAAGATGTTTTGATAGTTTTATCGATTAAAGCAGCGGCTCAGCGTCGGCCCAACAAGGGGACAGAGGCGAAGCATAAGTGAACAGGAGGATGCACACAAGACCCTTTCTCTGTCACCCCTGCATGGACCACAATGCATACATGCACACATAAGGAGGAAAAGACAAACTTATACACACAGTTAAGAAATTATGTGAAATACAATACACACTGGGCCTCATGCAAGGACATTTTCATATTCTTATCCTAATCCTTTCTTACTTTTTCCTGTAAGATTTGTGCGCACAAGTCCAGATGGGATCCACCAAACTCTCTTTACTGGACAAACTTCTTGCTTGTGAGATCAGACACATAATCAACGCCATTAAAACTGCCATATAAGGCTGCCTGTTCCGCTCAGTTCGTGGCAAAAGTTCCACTTGAATGTTACCAAAGGCTAAAAAAAGCAGCGCTGCGCAGTGACAGAAATAAAGGGAATGATTTAACATGCAGTTAAATAACTGACAGTTAAATAGTTAGCAGACTTCCCAGCATGCATTGTTTGGGAGTTCAAACTCTCCAGAGAGTAGCTAGAACAGGAGCAACTGCAGCTGTAAGATCTTAGTAAGAAATGAAGAACTGACTCAAACTGAGAAAATATAAAAGGAAATCAAATTTGTTCGTGATGTCAGTGTGACCAAAGAGTTATCTTAACAGTACTTTGTTTAAGTTGAACCAGCTCAAAATTATTTATAATGAAGGAATCTTGTATGAGAAGTTGTTGCATGATGCCCATTGTTCTGTGTGTCACTTTTTATGGATACATTTATGTCACAATTAAATCACAAAAGGACAATTAGTTCATTTTTATTTAGCTCTAATCCCAAACTGTGATAGAGCTGATTTTTTTCCCCATGTTGTCAGGAACAATTTATTCTGATAGTAAATACAAAAAGCAAAATAATTGTCAATTATCCATATTTTATTTGGATTTTTTTTTGTTTGATTGGATCTTTCATAACACACACACACACACACACACACACACACACACACACACACACACACACACACACACACACACACACACACTTGCAACATCTTAAGCAATAAACTCTCTTTTTTTTATCAGTGCTAACTTGTCGAGAGTGGCTTTCTCCTGTTTTTCCCTGGGGCCTGCTGCTGTCCAGGTGTGCGTGATGTTTACAGTATGAAGCCCTATTAGGGCCATCGCTTGGTCTGGTGCACTCCATGCAGGGCTGAGCAGAATTGACAGACCAGTCTGGCTCCTTAATTACATCCCCTCTCTCTTCCCAACATCAGCTAATGATCAATAAAAGAGAAAGGTAAGCGAGAGGCAACAACAGGGAGGAACTGGAGGTGGACAGAAGAAGGGGGAGGTGATGAAGTGGAGAAAAGCAAGGAGAAGAAAATTAGGTAGAATGAGTTTATGTAGGCGTGTGGAAGGTTAGAGGGAGGTCAGGCTCTCCCTCTAACCTTCCACCAGAGTCCTGGAGCAGCATTAAGGCCTGCAGGAGCAACAGTTTCAGAGAGCCAAACGCTGCATAAACGGGGCGCCACATTACAGTGCAATAAACATGTTTTGATAAGAGCGCAAGGTTGTGAATGAGCTCGCCCCCCGGTGCTCTCTCTCTCTCCTCGCAGCTCAACAGCACTAGAGGGGCTCAATGAGTCACTCTGACACACATGGATACACTCTAAACACTGAGGCTGGAGCTGTGCTAGTCCTCGTGGGCCAACATCACAATACAAGCATTTGCATTCTGACCTAATTACAGACTAAAGCCCAACACAAGCAGCAATTTGGCCCTAAATGACTCCCTTGGCCAACAGGGTCATTATCCCGACCATTTTCAAATCAGTGTATATTGTTTTTAAAGCCCCTAAAGCTCTATTTACAGTAAAAAACATGGCTGTCTGGTGTGCTTACAAAAGTGGTAAAATTAGAGGTGTTTAAGGGGCTACTGGCCGCTACAGCATATCTTAGCTCATTCTTGCATTTGTACAACATGTTCCCAGTTCCTTTGTAGCGTGAAAGACAAATGTTCACATCAAGCATGAAATTACAGGCAATTAACATACATGAGCCTGAGCTTTCACACTGTGGTCTGAAATGTCTGTAATGTATATTTGATAATTCTGGTTTGCCAAAGGGTCTAAACCACCCACTCAATGGCAATTCAAAGGGCCCACTGGGCAATGAGACACCAAAGCGGTGTAAAAGGTAAACAGATGAACACAGTTTGTACAAAAGGCCATGAGCTTTAAAATCAGACGCTGCTACAGCAGTGGTTCCCAAACCTTATTCAATAAACGACCCCTGACTGACAGTGACGTATTTTATGGATCATTTTTATTATATTTAATCCAGTAAAGTACAGAATGACTGATTAAATGTACAATGAACCCAAACAGTGAACGCAATAACTGCAGGAAGTTTGTGTAAAATAAGTGATTTGTATTGAGCAGATCACTTGTGAATATTGCATATTGATGAATTTTACTGTGATTTTTTATAACTTTTTATACAGTTCTGTCTGTATTATTATTATATATTTTCTGTTTAATTGTCTGAGTTTTGTCCCGCTTTTCTGGTTATTTCTAGTGAGGCTATAGCGATGAAGGTGGTTGAATATTTATTATTGATCTATGCAGAGGCTGCAAATATCTACAGAAATTAAATTAATTGTTAGTTTGAACATATGAGCCCGGTGCTACAGTTCACACCCCAGGGTGGACTGATATAGTCATTACTTGTTGACATGACACTTTGTTTTACTTTTTACACAAGTAACAGTACTTTTACTTGAGTAAAATGTTCTAGTACTCCTTCCTTCCCTGTAAAGAGGAAACTAATTCTATGCACTGTCCTCATTGTTTGCTGCTGCGCTGGGCTGCATAACAGCTTGAATGGACCTTTTTATTCTGTATTCAGAGGATTTTTATTTGGATGACAAAGTTCACAGTCAGAATAGAGCTTTCCTGTATGGAGCTCTTCAGGTCTGAATTATTTCAAAGTAAACCTCAAAAACAATTCCACTCACTTTCAATGGACCACAGTTCATTTCAAATGTCTCAGGAAGTAGCTATTGAGTGGAAAATATCATCATGTTTTCAATAACTCTGATGCTGAATCAACTGCGCAGTGGTAAGCAGTGCAGTTTAGAGGTCATCCTCGAAATGCCACCTCTTATCGTTTTTTTTGATAGGTTTGTGAAGTGCCGGCAAAAACACACTTCACCCTGATTTATGAGCGAGCAGTGTATAACGTCAGAGGCAGTTTTTGTGAGTGGTTTACAGTATGTAGCGTGATTGATTTTCCCAGAGATGCAGCATATTTTCAGCCTTGTAAATTAAAATACACTGCAGAGAGCTCACGCAGTCTGACGCTGTAGGACAGTAATACAACTGGTTCGCTGTATTGTTAGTTTTAAACTATTCTGGTATTATATTCTAAAGTCTAATATTAAAATTGCTCTAAACAGTCCTAAATGATGCCAAATCACCTTATTTAAAGTCATATGAGGGGAGTATTAGTCACTTAAACAGGTTATCTGAGCCTTTAGGAGGTATAGGATAGCATGATAATAATGTGGCCAGAATGTTTGTCCAAAGAGTTTAAGTATCAACTGGTTGAGGATGTGGGTTTTTGGCTGAAGTCTTTGTGGTGATTAGTGTGAAGATGGCATGTTTTTGGGTCAGTATACACTTGAAAAATAAAGATTGTTGGTATGACTTAAGCAAGAGGAAGTCCATATGGCCGGCAGACTGTTAGACCACCTGAAAGATCCTTTACACAAAAATCATATGGTGTGTTGTCAGAAAATGTACATCCCTCAGACCTACATTTCTACTTTATGTGTTACTTAGTGGTGATAAAGAGCCTAAACCGTCTGCAGTGAGGCCAGCTTTGTGTTTCCATGTTTGTCACCTCCCTTATACACTAACATCCCCCCAGTGACCTTACATGATACCAGAATTTGATTTGGGCTAATAAGGTGAATCTACTATTCACTTTAAAGCAGGGAGGAAAAATTCTCGCCTAGTGCAAAGTTCATCAACTGTACCACCGATCACCGCCGCTGACGTGGACATTGTTACCTTACATGCCCTTCACGGTATCTGTCATCCATCCCTTCTCATTCACCAGCCAGCCGAGTGGATGAGACAATGCAAAATGCAACAACCCTCTCCTCTCTCAATACCACCTGCCTTTCTTTTTTTTTTTTTTTTTTTTTTTTTTTTTTTTTTTTTTTTTTTTTTTTTTTATTTTTAATTTCCAAAATCTCTAAAAAAAGAGGTTTTATTTTTTCTCCACAGCAATTAAACCAGATTTCTGTCACTCCTCACATCTGATCTCTGAGCAAAAAGCAATGTAAAAATAGGCCCTGACACACTAAGTGTCCTCTCCACCTTTTGTCTGTATACATTTTACATAACTACAGTTGTTGCCATGACATGACTGTTCACTACCGAAGCAGCAGTACAACGTAACAATCACGTCTATGTGTCTTCTACGGAAATTCAGAATCTGAATTTTTGAAGGTTTGATCAAAATATATTTCTCCTCTGTGTTTGTGAACAGAACAGGTGAAATGAAGGTTTTTGCCAGGATAATTTTTCTAAGTTTCTGCTACAAGAGTACTACCCCATGTAAAACAGGACTAAAGGCATTCATGTTTTCTTACAGGTGAGTTCAATTTCTCTCTGCACCGATTAAAATACATTTCAGCCAAAAGAAAGACATGATAGTAATGTTACATAACTTGCTAACACAAAATATATGTAGGCCTACCTTGTGTTTAGAATGCATGGAGAAACCCAAACATGAATGTTTTTTGTCCTATTTAGATGCTTCTTGTGGACAAAATGAGTACAGCAAACACTCTTGACCAAAAATAAATGATTTTTTCCTAGCCTGTTCCACTCCATTAAGGAGCTTAAAAAATTATCCTGGCAAAACCTTTTTTTCACCTGTTCTTAAGTCATAAACACAAGCAAGAAATTAATTTAAATCTGAATTAGAAAAGGGACCACCACAATTCTTTTGCCTCTTAGGGCTTCTGTAGTCTGTTGTTTTGTTTTTGTACTGTAAATTTTAGGCGTCATGATGATGAGAAGTGCAATTATTTAAGTACAGAAATCTTGTAAAACAAATATTCTCCTTGTTTCTTCAGTGGGAGGGACTAAAATATGAGGAAAAGAAGAGAATCATGGATGCAATTAAAGGTCCAGTGTATAACATTTAGGAGGATCTATTAGATCAGAAGGGTCAAACCAAACACTTGCTCTAGATTGGAAGTATTTATTATAATTATTTAGAGCTTAGATCTCACCTCATATGTCGCTGTAGACATACTACATAGCTCAGCACTAAAGGTGACAGTTGGCTCCAGCAACAAACCCATAAATAACACTAAACTGCCTTGAGACCCATTTACACAGGACGTTCTGCATAGTCAAACATGGCAATAACACGGTTAGATGTGTGATTTCTCAGGTTCTCTGATGATGGGCTCGATACATATTGACGGTCAGCTGGGGAGACTTGTTCACATCAACCACCAAGTTATAATTACAAACAGCGTGTGGGTTTTTCTTCAGACTCTGGAATCTCACACAAGTGTGGGAAGAACGTGGTTTAGTCACGTTTAGGTTACAATTTGTCTATAACACTGAAGCTACTACTACATACTGGAACTATGTATGCTACAAAATAACTAGAATTATCCTTGAATAGAGGACAGAGGGGGTAAAACAGAGGTAGGGGATGTATTAGCACAGACTGATGGATATTTAGCACCTGATTAGTGGCAGTGAGGACAAAGTAACCAGGCCATCTGCTTTACATTTGCTCCCCTGGCCATGAATGCCAAGGACAGAGAGTTGTTGTGTTATGTTGTTTTCATATAAATACGGTCATTGCTCATGAAAATACAGTATAATGCAGTTTGTACCGTGCATGCGCATCATTTACATCATATGTATGTTGTGACATGAGGTATTCATGTTGATGCCTTCAGGCTAATGTCTCACTTTCTGTGTACTTGCTGTAATTTCTTGCTCTTGCATCTAGAGACTGAGTTTGGCAGATATTGCTTTTCATTTAATCGTGTTAAAAGCTATGTGTGTGACACCCTTTGAGACTGAGGCTGATTAAACTTCACACATCGCTTTGCTTTACAATCTCACATTTCTTCTCATTTGATTTGTTTGCAAATAATATCTTATTTAACTTTCTAAAACAATAATTACAACAGATAATATGATGAAAAAGAAGAATCATGAAGCGACAAACAAAATTTATTTAAAAGAAAAATCATTAAATGGACAGAAAATGAAATAAATAACCAATGCCAAACATTTACGCCAGTTGAGCATGCTGAGAATGATCAGATGAATGAAATAGCTTTGAACTAAAGATAAAACATATATCCTGTACAATATGTTAGAATATAATGTGTGGTTTGATACACGTTATGTACATGTTTTCACATTATCATACAGTGTATGCCAAAACATTTTAAGCAACGTTAAAGCAATAGTTTGACATTTTGGAGAATACACATATTTGCCTGCTTGCCGACAGTCAGACGAGAATATATACTTACCTATAAGGCTATCAGCTGGCTAGCTTAGCTTTATATTTAGTGTACAGACAGGAGAATGCTATCAGTCCTCTCACCTAACTCTCGGTAGGAAAGCAAATATTTCCCAAAATGTAGGCACAGTTCAAATCTCCTACCAACATCCTCAGGAGTTAAATCCTGATATTGTTGATGGCTTTGTGTCCCCTGAAATTGCACTGATGTATTGGCAAATACCTCTGATGACCTGTATGTCACAGTTATAGCACTAACTTCGTGAAGCTTGCTCTCTCGCCCGATTAAGAAACCTAGATAACAATGAAGGCTTTGGTGCCAGTTGATGAAGCCAAAACATTTGTTTTTGTAAGTTGGTTGATCTCGCAGCACTTGTGTTGCCAAAAAATAATCAAGCTGCACTATCTCTAAATGATCTAACAAAATAAAAGTTAAATACTGTACTGCTTATCGCTGGGCACCGCCAAAATGTGTACATACTGTATATCATAACCACACATACAGTACAACATATTGTATATGTGCAGTATCTTGACTTAAAAGCTATTTCATTCATTTAATTATAAGCAAACATCTGTTCATATTGCTTCTTTCTTCCACCTCACATGGTTTTCATTTTGCTGTATTCTATGACTATTTATTGCTGCAAATACAGGCGCTGGGCCCTGCTGTCCCACACTATATAATACAATCAAAGATAAGATTTAGCAGAGCCTTTTTGAATTCATTGGCAGTACTGGCAGCGAAGGCTACTTTACTCAAAGTGAAACTGAGTTGGCCACAGCATACAACCATGTATTCCACTGTGGAGTATATAAGCAGAGCTCCAGTGGACATTGAATTGCTTAATCATATTGTGGCGCAGGGGGAAATTTGATGCCACTTTCTCTCACTTTTTTTTTTCTTTTGCTATTCCATTTTGACAGCGAGACACAGAGTACACTCTTCTGCTCCTGAGAGGCGACTTGCCATGGTTGAGTGTCATTGAGGAACCTGCTCAGAGTGTGTGACGGCTGTGGATTGTCACAGAGGCCCAGCAGACGGTGAGATGGTACAGCGGGGCTTATGATCACACCAAGGCTCTGCCTCGTCGGCCACACCACTGCCTAACACCGCTCACATCTCCTCAGGCACTCACCTCTGAGAGCCGTGCTTACTTTCAATGCAAAGGATGAAACTTGAGAATACTGTCACGATAAAAGCTTTTTAATGTCATATTTCGTGCCTTAACTGTGGAAAAGTATGGTTTTTCATGTAACAAAAAATATAAATTTTTCACTGCATGTGTTTTTATATTTTCCTTGTGCACCTTGAATAAAAAGTATGTTGCCTTTGGACGGCTTTGCGTTTCACTGCAAAAGCTTTTAGTGCTAAAATAGCAGCGTCTGAACAATGTACCGAGTGTACAGAGTACTGAAAAGGCCTTTATGAAAAGAGTGAAAGAAAAGAAACACAAGCAACTTGTCATCCTAAAAATGAACACAGCCCCTGTTGAAATGTCAGTGAGGCCTGGAAATGGAGTGGGAATGGAAATAAGTAAAATGAATCCCATATGCTGTTGCCATCCTTCCCCCGAATACCTTCTGGCAATTAAAAGCAAACAGGCATTTTTTTTTTCTTTTTTAAAAGTTCGACACAGATCACGATCACTACCTGATAAGTGGCGGATTTAATGCGCACTCGCTTCCCTCCTTAACAGAATATTAATGTAGGCTGTCATCCATGAGAATGACTCATTTACAAGCATGCAGAGGAAGCTGAGGACTCAAACCTGGATGAGGTTTGTCGCCCCGCTCGTTTGATAACAAGCACTCGAGTGTATTTACAAGGCAGAGCGAGCGAGATAAGTCTGTGGTGTAATGACACTAAGCAGGTCAGGAATGTCTCTGCCTCTCAGTGTGTTGTTGCTCATCTCCCTCCTGCGGTTATCCCTCTTTCTGTCAGAGGGCTATACTTCCCTGTGCAGCCCGACGCCGCACAGCGCTGTCATCTGCGCCGATGCAAAGCATGAATATCAAATGCAGCTTTTCACTAGTTTGACTTGTGAAACCGTTCTCTCAACGTTTATCACATCTGTGTGCTTGAGATGAAATCCTGTCCTGCCAGTGCACTCAGAAGAGAGAAAACATTGTGTTGCTTATTGCCTGTCTCGGCAGTAAGCGCACAACCATGCTGACATGGCACTCAAATGGTGATGTGACCCCGCATGCAGTCTCCAATCTCCGAGTGTGTGGGAGTCAATAGGTAGGTGTGAGGTTAGATACAAATTGGCCCATTCGTGTCACAGCCCTGCAGTCACCGGCTCAAGCCTGGACGGCAGCTGGAACTGGAAAGCAACACTCTGAGGAGAGGGAAGGTGTGAGGGAGGAAAATAGCTGAAAGGAGTGTGATTTTTTTGGTGCAACTTAATATGAACCACAATTTATGTGTTTGGAGGGCTGAAAGAAACTTGTATTTGCCACTTTTATTTTCCCCATTTTCAATTCTTTCACTTTCATAAGCCAGCTCACCTCTCCCTCTTATCCATTCATTATTTCACCTACATCCTGTCCTTTCCTGCTCAATTCCTCCCTCTCTGCTCATCAAATAAACCTGCCAGCCTCTGTGTGATCTTCCCCAGCAGTGTTTTATGCCTCACATTATGACACATATAATCAGCCTGGCTGTTTGCACTACTTTGTTCAGCACAAATTGCTGCACCGATGGTCGCGGCAAAGCACAGATGGGACGTGGACAGTTTTTCATCAGCTGTTCCATACCACAGAGCCCAACACATCTGGTATGCAGCGAGGAGCATCTTTGCACTAATTTGTTTGTCACTATACATTGAAGGGACTATCTGTCATCCTGCCATGCTTTGGTTGCAGCATGATGTTTGAAGAACATGGCTAGTCATAAGTTTCAGGCAGCCCGGCTGGCTGGCCGCTTGGGACTCACTCACATGAGCCATCTGACTAAAGGGAGGGAAGAAATGGAATGCAGAAGAGGAAAGGAAACTAGAAAAGAGTAGAGGTAGTCTGTAAATGTAATGCTCAATATCAAAAAAGGGATAAAGAGATAATCAATTTTGACTTCCAAGTCTCCTGAAAGCTCATAAAGCTTTAAGTTCACGACACATACGTAGTTTACAATAATAACGAAAGCAGGTTTACCACTCAAAATACTTTAAAACAATGTGTCCTCTATTTTGTACGAAGGTAAACCAATAGCAGGCTTCTCTTTCTTAGCTGGCAACCATCAATTTGACAGCTGAAATGACAACTGTCGCTAGAAGATTTTAGCAGCTGCTGCTAGGTAGCTAATTTAGCTAACATTAGCTCCATGAACGTTTTGAAAATGCTGCCTGTAGCTGACTTGTTTTAAAGGTTCAGTGTCCTGTAACATTTAGTAGGATCAATTGGCTGAAATGGAATAGGACATTCATAGTTAAGTTTTCCTGTTTAGCTGCCTAGCTTACATACTTACATACGGTAAAACTTCTAATAACAGCCCGGGCCTTTATTTGCTTAAATCACTTAACCCCCTTTATTGGGGACAGGCCTCTATTTGGGACAGGCCTTTAATTCGTCAAGCACAAAACTGAACTTAACTAACTGCTGCTTCTCTTGAGTTTTCTGACAACTAACATGATGATTATGATCGCTTCAGAGGATTTTTTTCCCTTCTCAGAGTCAGAAGGAATTAACATTTTACTTTGGTGTTGATAGTTTTCGTAAAATATATTGAACGATTGAATTGGGGAGAATCTATAACTGATCTAATGATGTTCATTATGTACATATTGACAGAAGTTTAAACATTTATATTTGTGTAGGAGATTGAAACGACGTAAAACTCGCTCAAGCAGGCGACCTGGTGGGTTTTAAGAGGTTTTATACATCGAGATAATTTCTATAAAATCCAGACCAGGCCTCTATTGGAGACCGGCGTTTATTTATCAAAACCTGTAGCCACACCAGGCTTTTAAAAGAGACCGGCGTCTATTAGGGACCCTGCTTTTATTGGAAGTTTTACGGTAATAACATACTCATATTTAGTTTGTTTTCACTTTCAATGTTAGAAGAGAAAAAAGCTTTTAGGATGATGACTGATTGATGTATTTGGCTAATGTAATGCTATTTCTGGGGTTGCTAAGTGCCTAAAATCCAATAAAGAGCAGGACCGAAATGCTAACGTTAGCCTAAACTCTGATAGCATCTAGAACCAGCTTTTACACAGTCGCGAAACACTTACTACTGTATTTGTGAACAGGGCTTACCCTGAGTTACACTGTGCACCTTGGCCTTGAAAGTAGTGTAACACTCCATATGCAGAGAGCTAGTTAGTCGGACATGCTAATGATTATAGCTTACAATAAACACACTGATAGTTTCCTTACACTTTTGCTCCTGTGTTTTTGGCAAAATAGAGATAGACACCACCTTCCTAACTCTGTGAAGGAATAATCAATCCAACAGTCCTGCCATGCCTTGTTACAGATGCTAAGCTATCGTTGGACTATCGCTGATCAGGGGACGGGTTTGGCAAATGGTCAGTTTGGTGGTAGTGGTTGTGGGAATATCTGGATCCCCTCCTCAGATTTTCTCACAGGTTTCTCAGCCTGTTTTCATTCAAGCCTCAATTTTCCATACAATCCGAGAGTGGAAAAAAAGAACGAAGAACCTGATGAATGCAATCTGACAGCTCCTAATATCCCCTTTCCCATTCTATGCTCTACATTTAGTGCGATTCTAAGTCAATTAAAGAACTGTTTGATGTTGATGCATTCAGACTTGGAAATTAAGCACCAGTCCGGTAGTTTGTTAGTTGACAGCATTTGTCTTGGTCTCCTACAGGCCATATAGCTTTGCTGGGAATATATATTTAGATCTATATATTGTATACCTAGCTTGGGACAAACAATGGATGAAATACACACTTTTGATAATGTATTTTTATCCAAAATACAACAAAAATGAGGAGGGGGACTGGAAAAGTGGGCTTTTTGAGTGAAATGTAAATGGCTCGGCGCTTGCACAGCAATCTATTTTTCAGGGAGAAAAAAAATCACTTATCTGACGACAAGCACTTTCCTTGGCTACTAAGAATGACATTAATGTTGCAGGGGAGGATGGCACTGTGGTAATACTGACTGCGAAGGGACTTGGAAAGTTCCACAGCACTCAATATCTTAGAAATATCAGTTTAAAGTTTACTGAAATTGAAAAGGGAAAAGCTTCTGCATTTTCCTAGGGCTCGTTTTAGCCCAATCTAGTCCTAAGTAACTTAAAGATATTTTCCAATTTGCCAAGATTCATGCAGAAAAAGCTGAAAACTACATAAGAGGGTAGAGCAAGAAAATGTGATTTCCTGTAATTCAATAGACTGAATTTGTGAAGGCTGAAATGGAGGGCTTTTATGAACTGACAAGACAGTATGTCCTCTGAACAGGGGGGATTATTCAAACCCATAATGTTCTAAAGTCAAAATTGAGACATTGAGGATAAAAGAAAGTAGAAATCTCTCATGTACATATACAAACACACACTGGTCACTGTTTTGACTCACTGAGTAATTGTGCATTTAGAGTCCCCACAAAGAAACCTGTGGCATTTTCACACATATTCCACTTGCGTGCTGCGTTCAGTAGCACATCACTGCACAGCTGGTTTAATGCACAGCTGGTTTAAAAAAATCCGAGCCTTCACATGAAACAAATGTACAGTCAAGCAGAATCGAACAGAAAGAGAGAAAGAGAGAGAGAGAGAGAGAGAGAGAGAGAGAGAGAGAGAGAGAGAGAGAGAGAGAGGAAACAGAAAAGGTATATTTAGTTCTCAAACTGTCAGAAGTGTGCTGAATAATGGAGATGTAGAATGTGGGCACGCAGACACAGTAAAAGGTTTTTGCTGTATTTCTTTGATTTGGTGCCACTGAGATGAAGGTATGTGTTGTGTCATTATGAAGCACAAATCTTTAATGCTCTCTGTTTCCATGTGCTGGAGCCCATATCTCCTCTATGATCATGTTTTAACAGCAATCATATCCTACCGACCTGAAACAAAGGTCATAGTGGAGTGAGAGAATCTAGCGTTCTATAACTGCATCACATTACATTACAGCAGCTAATCAACATCAGCCTGTAACTAATGTAACTAACTGTAATTTCCTTGATTAACAACAAGTTAGTCTATAAAAGCAGCTGGAGGTGATATCTTTGAAGTGCTCATGGCCAACAGCCGAAACAAAGTTATTCACTATCAAACAAAAGCAAAGACATAACAAGGAAAAATTGCTTGAAAAATGGCTCAAAAGGGGCCCACCTGACTCTTTATTTAAAGCCCCCTTCCACTGAAACC